TACACCTGAACATCAGCAGGAGAGGACTCTTTAAAGTAGAGACACTACATACTGATATACACCTGAACATCAGCAGGAGAGGACTCTTTAAAGTAGAGACACTACATACTGATATACACCTGAACATCAGCAGGAGAGGACTCTTTAAAGTAGAGACACTACATACTGATATACACCTGAACATCAGCAGGAGAGGACTCTTTAAAGTAGAGACACTACATACTGATATACACCTGAACATCAGCAGGAGAGGACTCTTTAAAGTAGAGACACTACATACTGATATACACCTGAACATCAGCAGGAGAGGACTCTTTAAAGTAGAGACACTACATACTGATATACACCTGAACATCAGCAGGAGAGGACTCTTTAAAGTAGAGACACTACATACTGATATACACCTGAACATCAGCAGGAGAGGACTCTTTAAAGTAGAGACACTACATACTGATATACACCTGAACATCAGCAGGAGAGGACTCTTTAAAGTAGAGACACTACATACTGATATACACCTGAACATCAGCAGGAGAGGACTCTTTAAAGTAGAGACACTACATACTGATATACACCTGAACATCAGCAGGAGAGGACTCTTTAAAGTAGAGACACTACATACTGATATACACCTGAACATCAGCAGGAGAGGACTCTTTAAAGTAGAGACACTACATACTGATATACACCTGAACATCAGCAGGAGAGGACTCTTTAAAGTAGAGACACTACATACTGATATACACCTGAACATCAGCAGGAGAGGACTCTTTAAAGTAGAGACACTACATACTGATATACACCTGAACATCAGCAGGAGAGGACTCTTTAAAGTAGAGACACTACATACTGATATACACCTGAACATCAGCAGGAGAGGACTCTTTAAAGTAGAGACACTACATACTGATATACACCTGAACATCAGCAGGAGAGGACTCTTTAAAGTAGAGACACTACATACTGATATACACCTGAACATCAGCAGGAGAGGACTCTTTAAAGTAGAGACACTACATACTGATATACACCTGAACATCAGCAGGAGAGGACTCTTTAAAGTAGAGACACTACATACTGATATACACCTGAACATCAGCAGGAGAGGACTCTTTAAAGTAGAGACACTACATACTGATATACACCTGAACATCAGCAGGAGAGGACTCTTTAAAGTAGAGACACTACATACTGATATACACCTGAACATCAGCAGGAGAGGACTCTTTAAAGTAGAGACACTACATACTGATATACACCTGAACATCAGCAGGAGAGGACTCTTTAAAGTAGAGACACTACATACTGATATACACCTGAACATCAGCAGGAGAGGACTCTTTAAAGTAGAGACACTACATACTGATATACACCTGAACATCAGCAGGAGAGGACTCTTTAAAGTAGAGACACTACATACTGATATACACCTGAACATCAGCAGGAGAGGACTCTTTAAAGTAGAGACACTACATACTGATATACACCTGAACATCAGCAGGAGAGGACTCTTTAAAGTAGAGACACTACATACTGATATACACCTGAACATCAGCAGGAGAGGACTCTTTAAAGTAGAGACACTACATACTGATATACACCTGAACATCAGCAGGAGAGGACTCTTTAAAGTAGAGACACTACATACTGATATACACCTGAACATCAGCAGGAGAGGACTCTTTAAAGTAGAGACACTACATACTGATATACACCTGAACATCAGCAGGAGAGGACTCTTTAAAGTAGAGACACTACATACTGATATACACCTGAACATCAGCAGGAGAGGACTCTTTAAAGTAGAGACACTACATACTGATATACACCTGAACATCAGCAGGAGAGGACTCTTTAAAGTAGAGACACTACATACTGATATACACCTGAACATCAGCAGGAGAGGACTCTTTAAAGTAGAGACACTACATACTGATATACACCTGAACATCAGCAGGAGAGGACTCTTTAAAGTAGAGACACTACATACTGATATACACCTGAACATCAGCAGGAGAGGACTCTTTAAAGTAGAGACACTACATACTGATATACACCTGAACATCAGCAGGAGAGGACTCTTTAAAGTAGAGACACTACATACTGATATACACCTGAACATCAGCAGGAGAGGACTCTTTAAAGTAGAGACACTACATACTGATATACACCTGAACATCAGCAGGAGAGGACTCTTTAAAGTAGAGACACTACATACTGATATACACCTGAACATCAGCAGGAGAGGACTCCTTAAAGTAGAGACACTACATACTGATATACACCTGAACCTCAGCAGGAGAGGACTCTTTAAAGTAGAGACACTACATACTGATATACACCTGAACATCAGCAGGAGAGGACTCTTTAAAGTAGAGACACTACATACTGATATACACCTGAACATCAGCAGGAGAGGACTCTTTAAAGTAGAGACACTACATACTGATATACACCTGAACATCAGCAGGAGAGGACTCTTTAAAGTAGAGACACTACATACTGATATACACCTGAACATCAGCAGGAGAGGACTCTTTAAAGTAGAGACACTACATACTGATATACACCTGAACATCAGCAGGAGAGGACTCTTTAAAGTAGAGACCCTACATACTGATATACACCTGAACATCAGCAGGAGAGGACTCTTTAAAGTAGAGACACTACATACTGATATACACCTGAACATCAGCAGGAGAGGACTCTTTAAAGTAGAGACACTACATACTGATATACACCTGAACATCAGCAGGAGAGGACTCTTTAAAGTAGAGACACTACATACTGATGTCATCCTGAAAATGAATGTAACAGGGCCCCTTTAACGTGTTGCAACAAACGTGTGATCACACTCAAGTTTGAAAATATGTTTGCAACACTTCACTTTTTCACATCCCCTCAACAGGTTTCTGTGTCACAAATCCAGCAAGTTCCCCACACCTCGAGGAACTAAATACTTTTACGTCACCCTTTTTTTTATTGAGTCATTCTGGTTGTGGGAAGTTTTTATATCTATAAATGATATACAAATAATACTCACGGGATTATGACATGACAACTTCCCCACGATCACATGACAATGTGATGAGCAGGAAATATCACAATGCAAATGAATCAACTCTTTATTTGCTTTCCCAGTCATGGATCAGGGCCGTTTCTTCCTATCGGCGGACTATGCAGATGCTTAGGGCCCCCGCGGCCACTAGGGGGCCCCAAAGCTGAAAGTTCAGGTTCAGCCTCAATATATTTGGGGAGAATTAAAACGAGCCGTCTTTATTTGTAGACAGCCAAGCCCCCTCCTGTGTTCGGTGAAGCATTATATGATTAAGAATCAAATGTAGGATATAAACACAACTAAACTGCAATGATAGCAAAGCTGTGGCTTGTGTTTTTGGGGTAATAAATTCCAAATCATCGTTCGGCTGTCACCCAATGAGTGACGTCTGAGGAAGAGGAAACATTTAAATTTAACATTGTTGTGAAAATGATGCATCTCTTGCATTTAAGAAATAGAGGAGCCTTATTGTTTACCTTTTTTTAATATCATTTTTTGTAAGTTTCAATTGCTGGGTTTTTATGAAATTAGCCTGTTTTCCTCTTAAAGTGTAACAGATTGATGCTTCTCCACAGATCATCTTAAAGGCTTCGGAATCCCGCAATTGTAGTTAAAAAAAACTAGGGCCCCCAAACAGCATCTTGCACAGGGCCCCCAAAAGGCTAGAAACGGCCCTGATCTGGACACACCAGTTTTATCTTTCTATCTTGTATTTCTTAGGAAGGGTAGTGACTGTTTGAGCTTCAGGGTTCATTTGAGAGTGTACATGTGGGAGGAAGCCAAGCGTGGTGTAATTTCAGATCCTTTTTATTTAAGGAACTGATGTCACTTACAGTCGAGCATTTGCATTGACAAGAAAAAGGAACAATGCACGGAACAGGTTTTTATTTATAATTTCTTTACAAAAGTAGATTAGATGCAAAGCTTGAGTATTTGTACAGATCAACATGTACGCCATCTTTTTCAGCCTCTACAGTTAAATATAAACCAAAGGGCATTTTAAACAGAAACATATGGAAAATATGTATTGCTTCATTATCCGGCTGAAATCTGACCATAAAACAAAATGCTGGTTGTCGTTTTTTTCGTTCTTATAACTAAAACTACCCTGTGGATTTTAATCAACTGAAGTTTCAGACTCTTATATTAAAACACACATATTTGTAATAAGAAAATAAAGTGCTAACCGCCTCCTTCGACAAACACAAAATGTTGAAGGAAGTGAAGGAAGTGGGAGGTAGATTGCAAGACAGGATATTACAGCATGGACAGGATTTCATTAAACAGGAAACGGATCTTTAATTGGTGGTAAATTATTTCTAAATAACTGCTCAAGCAATACATCATCAGACTATCAAAGGTACCCTGACTCTGGTTCAACATGTTTCAGGCAAGCTGACACAGGTGTCAAGCATCTGCCATAATTGACCCAGTTTAAGGCCTATAGCAAACTGTTTTATGGAACAAATCATATAAAATGCTGTTTTTTTTCTGACAGTTTAGATTTTTAACCAGTTGCCTAATCTTCCATTTAAATGTATTTCTTAATTCAAAGATTTCAGTCTTGCTCAATTTGTATTTCACAGCTTTAAAGTGTAACAGATACATTTAATTGTATTAATTTCTATGGTTTGAAATAGTGACATTGTCGATGTTCTGGTGACTAAAGCTACTGTAGCAAAAGCATTAACTTTATAATGATGGTATACACCATCTGTGGTTATGTTATTGTAATAATACTCACGAGGTAACGTCACCAAGATGTGTGCCGTTTTGAAAATTGCTTTTAGGACGGAATCAAGAAGTTGAGTTTAAGTTAAGGCTAAACACACAAAAGTGCTAGTTTTCAGCTACACACACACACACACACACACACACACACACACACACACACACACACACACACACACACACACACACACACACACACACACACCACACACACACACACACACACCACACCACACACACACACACACACACACACACACACACACACACACCCACACACACACACACACACACACACACACACACACACGGCTAACGGGAGCAATTTGGGGTTACGTATCTTCTGCAACTTCAAGTGTCGTTTATTGCCTTTGCATTCGTATCACTCAGGATCAGTTGTGTACTCAAGTACACATTTGAGGTTCTTCTACAATACTTTCACTTTTTACTCCACTGCTTTTTCTGTTATAACTCTGTAGTATTGCTACTGAAGTATAATATCTGAGCTCTATCAGGACAGACTCTGGATCAGAGCGGCGGTCAGACAACAAATAAGTAATTCTAATCCAATAAAATATATATGACTCTGCAATTAACCATTTTGCATTAATGTATTTTTGTTACTTTAAGTCTTTTTTTTTATCTAATACCTTTTTTTCAAGGTTTTGAATGCAGGACCTTAACTCTGTTGTATTGCTACTCCGGTCGAATATCTGAGGGTTTGGAGATCTACATTAGCAGTGGATAATGTGAAATGAACCCCACTTTTACCCAGAGAAACATTGAAATGTAACAAATCAGTAATTATAATCCAATAAAATGTAATGTACTTTTTGGTATTCTTCGAAGCTAATACCTGTTTTCTAAGGTTTTGAATACAGGGCTGTATTGCTACTCCAGTATAATATCTGAGGACTAACAGGACAGACTCTGGATCAGCGCGGCGGTCACACAGAGCCCCAGCAGCAGAGATGTTGATGTTTTGACCCCCGCTCTGCTCTCCAGCTGCAGTGTGTAGTCAGCCAGCACTCGGGTGTACCCCCTCTCCTCCGACACACACCTGTACCTGCCCTCCTGCTCCGGACTCATCCTGGGGATCAGCAGGAGGCCCGGAGAATCCTCCAGGCTCCAGGAGGTGTTTCTCTCCAGGTTGATCCAGGTGTATCTGGCCTGATGAGATGAAACTGGGCACTGCAGGAAGTATTTGGAGTTCAGAGGGAGCTTGATGCTCTTCGTCACATCGTCTCTTGCAGGTAGATATTTACTCACTGAGAAGAGAACACATACAATCATTTAAAACATATCATCTTATACTCCGATTGCCTTTTACACCGTTACATTGTATTTTTAGTCTTGTATGTGTTTAACAGAGACATATGTTAAGGATTTACATTTCTGGAGGGCAAAGGAAGTGTAAAAGGGGGGTTTTAAATGGCTAAGGACGAGGGGGTTTAATGGTGGGACGGGTGGCGCAGTGGTCTGTGCATCTGATCATCAGATCAAGGGGGGTGCTGGGGAACTCCAGTTCGAAACCCGCTCCTGCCGCCACTGCGTCAGGCCGTTGTGTCCTTGGGCAAGACACTTCACCCGGATTTGCTCCTGTGGGTAATGTCCACAGTACATGTATGATACTAATGTGTACTTGTAAAAGCGCCTCAATGACTTTGAGGCGTGAAGATGGACGGTGTGGCGCAGTGCGCTGTGCAATGATCATCAGATCAAGGGGTGAAACCCGCCGCTGCTGCGTCTGTAAAGCCGTTGTGTCCTTGGGCAAGACACTTCACCTGAACTTGCTCCTGTGGGTATTGTCCACAGTACATGACCATTGCATGTATGATATGTGTAATGTGTATTTGTAAAGCGCTTTGAGCATCTGGAAAAGCGCTATAATAAATGTAAGGAATTATTATTATTATTATTATTATTATAACGTTAGCTTAGCCAAGCTCCATTCAGAAAACACGCATTTTAAAAAGGTGTTTCACCTGCCGTCTGTCTGCAGACTTGTCAAAGCATTAATTCATGGTTTTTACTAACCGGTATCAGTATGTTGTTACTTCGGCATCATTTTGAAACGTGTATTACAATTAAATCACGGTCAAATATGTTCATCTTGTTGTAGTTGTAGCCCCCTTGCCAGCGATTCTCTCTCTAGTTTAGCATACTCAGCCCGACTCAGCCTGGTTGTTGGCCCGGAAAGAACCTCGATTTTATGGGGCCAGGAAAACTGTGAAATAGTACCCAATAGTGGAAACCCAACCAAAAACGGGCGGGGCACACAACGGCACACAACGGTACGTCCACACAGCAGCTTTTCAAAAATCTTGAAAATCTTGGAGCTGGGCGTGTCTGAAAGCTTGGGGATTTTTTGCGAGCAACGCGACCAACAACCAATCACATGAATCTCCCGCCCCCGACATACAAAGCAAAAAACCCCGGGGATTTTATGCGAGCAATATATATATATATATAAAAACTCCCCAAACAGGCGAAAACCTACCAGTTTCACCCACTGTCTCTGCCACCTCCCTCCTTGCCTGGTTCCTCCGGTTTGTATCCCGTTAATAGTTCTGGTCGTAAAGAACCGGGTGATTTGCTACCGTAATTTCTCGTTTGGAATATGAGGAAATTAACTGCGGTCTGGTTCTCCCTGCTTACACGCGGTTTGATTGGCTAGCGCTTCTACTGTCAGATTTGCATAAACGGGATTTGATTGGCTGACGCTTCCAGCTCAGCTTCAAAAGTTGAACATTGCTCAACTTTTGAATCCTGAAAATCCTGGAAATCTTCGCTTCGCTCCCCCACAATGCAGTTCGGCGAGAGGCGAAGTGACGTCATCCCCATTCAAAGTCAATGGGCAGAGAAGCGTTGGAAGATTTGTTTAAAGCTGCTGTGTGGACGTACCGTTACGGCCCCTACACACGGCGGCGTGCGTTGCCGCTTGGCGGTGGGCGTGTCTTGAGCTTGGGGAGTTTACGCGAGCAACGCAACCAACAACCAATCACATGAATCTCTCCTGTCAATTGCATAAAAGGTTTTACATGTCACACTTTATATGATGAACATTTATGACATTAATGCCTATGGTGCTATTTTACGCAACATTCCATGCTGGCTAAATACTGTCTATGCCTGCTAGCTGTCCATTCAAACGAAGTACACTGGATATAAACTCCCCAAACAGGCGAAAACCTACCAGTTTCCCCCACTGTCTCTGCCACCTCCCTCCATGCCTCCTCCGGTTTGTATCCCGGTAGGTGAACAGGGACTGATCATAAAGCACTGGGTGATTCCCTACCGCTACGATTATTTTGTCCTCCATTTTTTGGCATATGAGGAAATGAACTGCGGTCTGGCTCTCCCAGCATACACGCGGTTTGATTGGCTAGCGCTTGTACTGGCAGATTTGCATAAACGGGATTTGATTGGCTGACGCCTCCGTCGAGGCGGCAAAAGTAGAACATTGCTCGACTTTTGCAGCGAGCACCGCGAGAGAAGCTACACTTTGCTCCCACAATGCAGTTCGGCGAATCGTGACGTCACCCCATTCAAATTGAATGGGCAGAAGCGTTGAAGCGGCAACACACGCCACCATGTGTAGGGGCCGTTAAAGCGAGCTCTGCGCTGTAGTGGAAATGCGCCATTAGTATCAGCCACACAAACTGTCAAGTTTCCTCTGATTTTGGTGCAGCTTCTCCACTTGAGAAGGGACCCGAGGCATCTACTGGACTTTGATGAACAGGATTCCACTCCAATGACACAGATTTTCTTTTTAGACTCTTTATTTAGCAGTTCACTGAAGTCTCTTTGCTGACTGGGTCATTTTATTCAGATGAAAAACCGGCTGCCTGTCCTGACTTTGTAGAAATGCCTCCCGTCGACACGCTTCAGTCTCCCAGACTACGCACACAGCAACTATTTAAATCCTTCTCCAGGATGCAGCACTGGGCTCTGTGATTAGGGTGATCACACCCAGCTTGCCAGAGGAGGCAGGACTGCCTGCGATCATTTCACACCTGTTGTCTATCCCTATTAATTGGTGATTTGTATTTAAACGAAACAAATGTGTCGCTCTAATGATTTAACTTCTGATTAAAATTAGCCTATTTTGTTATTGGTATGTGTCAATATCTATTATTTTTCGACTACTTGTCATCTGTTTTTTATGTTATATGTATTAAAGCCTTAGGCTCTGTTTGACTTTACACAAACACAGCAACATTTAATAAGCCTGAAAGACGTGATGCAGCGGCAGAAGAGAACAACTGTAAATCTACTTTCATTTCTAATTTAGAGACAAGCTGCAGAGAGAAATTAGGCTAAAGTATGTATAAGAGTAGTATGAGTATCTTTAGAAGAAATACTAGGCGAGCTTAAATTAATTGGGTTTGAGCATCATACTATTCATTTGGTGATACATATGCATGTGTTGAGAGAAGGTGATTGATTTTCTCTCAGTGTCTAAAATTAAAATATAGTATTTATGCAGGCACACACACACACACACACACGTCAAATTGTATGATATTATAGGAGCACACACACCTCTCCGAAACACACATTTGACTGCCTTCCTGCACCCACTAAGCTTATCAGGCAGGGACATATGTAAAGCTCTGTATACTTTGACTAAAGGCAGTTATTACATGCGCAAAGCATTTGCATATTACTGTATGATCCTTTCTACAGAAAGATCTATGTTATCCTAATACAGGCCTACTGTGTTCCTGTGCGTGATGACAGAGTCAAGGCAGAGCTGCAGATGTGTGTTATATTCACATCCGAGTGCACAGACTTGTCTCGGAGACTCCTTACAAATATAGAACTTGCCAGAAGGCAGGGACAAAAGTAAAGGAAATAGTATTGGTTAGTCGGCCTACACTACAGCCTTAATGCCAGGATATCAAATGAAAAAAGAGTCAAAAGTTTCCTCCTTTGTTTTGTAGAAATACATGCAGACTATCCACTGATGTAAAGTTGCAGAAAACCACTTTTTGCAGAGTGGTAGATAACAGATCAAACCCGCTCTCATTCCTGTGTGTTAAATATAAATCCAGTAGCCTTTTAGCTTAGCGACTAGCAGTTTCCATCCTTTTCCAGGAACCTGGCTTTATCCAATGTTCACACAAGAGTTCTACATCCTGACACATCCTCCATCTACACTGTCTCAACTGAAAGAGGACCAGAAACACAATAAAAATATGATAACATGTGGAGACTTTGGATATTTATCTCCCACTCTTTTACTTTTTACAGACCAGACATGTCGTTGATGTCAATGTTTAACTACCACTTTTTCTGAAGAATGCATATATATGTTAAATACATGGTTTATACATGTAATTACTGGGGTTCCATTTCTTCTGATTACCTAATTTGGGCGTGTTAGGGAAATAATTGTCGTAGACTCCTAGATATGACGTGCATGACCAACCCTGACGTCTGTTATCTCCTTTAAGGAGATCGGCTGCTTCAGCCATAATGTTGTTGTTCCCATTCTATGACCGGGTAACTCTAGGTCACAGATGGTTTATTGTTGTGGGTACACTGGGACGCTTCCTTCTCTGTGTTTGTGGACTCCAAGGTGTGAAATCTTCGAGGCCATAAGTGTCAGACGCAAGTAACTCAGTGTTCCCAACTGTTTAGGCTATCTCCTCAAACATGTTGATTACTCTCTGCGAAACCAGTTAAATGGGCTAACGAGAGAAAGGCGCTCCAGAATTGACGTGGCAACTCTACCGTGAAGTCAGAACCTCTGGCTCTTGCACTTGTGATGTGAATTCTCCGGCCGAAGCTCCAAATAAACCATCAGTGTTTGACATCAGAGCTCCTGCTCTTCCCGTGTCTCCTTCCTGAGTCGGTGACTCCCACTGCATTGCTACACAGAAGTTTCCCTTACAGGGCGTGCACATTTGCACAACCTACCTCTTTTGGATTTGGAAAGGTTGGCATGTATGGACTTTCACAACTATGCGACACTAATGTAGTTTTGATAAAGCTATAAATAACTTCCTAAATTAAATAAGACTTCCCGATATTCATAACGAACCTGTTTGACCATGTGTTGTGTGACTTTAATTAACCACTTTATTACACGTCAAGCTGACATTGCAGTCACATGTTAGCACACGTGTTTTTATCTGTGTCCTCATTTCCCATCACAGCAACTTCTTGTTTTTCAGTACAACATTTACATTTCTCTGCTGACACACCTATTGATTTAAAACCAGATTGCAGTGCAAATATCTCCGTACCTGTTTGAGAGTGCTGAAACGTCCCTGGAGACACACAGATGTTGTGATCTGCTCGGCTCACGTCCTGAAGCATGTCTCTGTGAGGGAAAAAGGATGGCTTATTAAAAATAAATGAATGCAGAGTATTTTACTAGATAGTACACAACCTGGTTACAATGGATTTGAGCTATTAACACAATTTGAACAGCCCTAATATCATACAAGACTTTACTGGCAACAATACACCTTCAAAAATATAAAAGCACCAATCAGAAGAGGTTATAGAAAATATAGAAGAGCTCTGAACCCGTTTCTCTTTCGATCCAGTACAGATTCCCTCTCTGTCTGTGTCTGTGTATTCTCTTGTTCCGAATAACCCAGCCAAATATTTGTTCTTGTTTTGTATCTATATCTACGCCGGGATCCGGAGTCGAGGCTGATCCTCTTGCTGTAGTCCTGTGTCTTGGATCCTCTATCCTGAGTTCTGGATTAAGTCGTGGACTTCGGGTCGTGGCTGAACCTGTCTCTGCGGTCCTGCCTTGGGTCTCGTCATGTTGCTTCCCTGATGGCTTCCACAGGATTGTAGCTGACATCCTTGTGGATTCATCTTGGCTGGTGTTAAATTACAGGCTGTTTTTAACATTATTCAGACTCAGCTTGCTGAACTTAAGCTTATTTTAAATGTTGATAAAACCAAGGTAATGCTATTTTCAAAAGCTAAAAAGACACCAGAGCCTGTTTTGGATATTGTTATGCAAGGACAAGTACTTCAAGTGGTTACCAGTTATAAATACCTGGGTATCTGGCTTGATGATTGTCTTACTTTTAAACTTCATGTCAATAACCTGCTTAAAAAGCTGAGGGTTAGACTAGGTTTCTTTTACAGGAATAAGTCCTGTTTCTCTTTTGAAGCCAGGAAAAGGCTAGTCACTGTGACCTTTTGACCTGTGCTGGATTATGGTGATTTGTTGTATATGAATGCACCTGCCCATTGCCTGAACAAGTTAGATGCCGCCTATCACAGCGCACTGAGATTTGTCACAAATTGTAAAGCACTTACTCATCACTGTACCCTGTATGCCATCACTTACTGTAAAGAGGCTCAGTCATTGGTACACGTTTATTTATAAAGCTTTGTTGGGTAAACTCCCGTATTATATCTGCTCTCTGATCACACAGAGAGTTGCAAGCAGCTATTGTCTGAGATCGCATGATGTAGTATTGTTAGATGTGCCAAGAGCAAGGACTGTCTTAGGTAAGACAGCTTTTATGTGCGCAGCTCCACTTGCTTGGAACAATCTACAGCAAGAATTGAAACTGAGCAATCTCATTCCTCTGCATGTTTTTAAAGCTAGGCTAAATGAAATGCTCGTTGATACTATGGCCACTTGTAAATGTCTAACTATGTAAATGTATCCTGTAAATATAATGTATGATGTCCTTTATTGTTTTATGTTTCATGTGGAACCTATATGCTGCAGGTCTCCCTTGAAAAAGAGATGTATGATCTCAATGGGACCAATCTGGTTAAATAAAGGTTTGAAATGAAAATGAAAATCTTCTTATTACAGACACATGCATTTCCTAACATTCGGTCTATATGCTGTAAAATGTATTATCTCTTCGATTTACACACGGCATCTATTGCACGACTGTCCGTCCTGGGAGAGGGATCCCTCCTCTGTTGCTCTCCCTGAGGTTTCTCCCATGTTCCCTTTAAACTGTGGGTTTTCTCTGGAAGTGTTTCCTTGTACGATGTGAGGGTCTAAGGACAGAGGGTCTAAGGACAGAGGGTCTAATGACAGAGGGTCTGAGGACAGAGGGTCTAAGGACAGAGGGTGTCATTTTTCTCATACTGATATTCTGAACAATCTGTGCTGTTGTATTTGCTGTAAAGTGTCTCTACTGTAGGCTATTTTTATTATATGTACAGCACTTTGGCTCGACCAAAAATCGTTTATAAATGTGCTATATAAATAAAACTTGATTTGATTTGATTTGAGATTACTGCGTGCTTTTATTACCTGTAGAATTGATTTCTGTGTTGTTCTACTTTCTGGTCTAACCTAAAAAGAATATTGCTTAATTTCAACTCCTCATCAGTTTATAAGAAATCAGGTAACAGTGGTCTTCTCTTGCATCAACTTCTGCAAAGTAGGTGGGGGGGCTTAAAGGGGTCTTTTTGCAGTGCAACACTATAGATGCAGTTAGACACTTCTACTCAGAGCGGGTTCACACTACTCCTAACCGAGCTTCCATTCTCCGTCAGACTTCCTACAAGTGGGCAAACGTTCACTATCATTTCAAACACTATCATTTCGGCACATGGAGAAAGTATGTTTATGAAACTTGTTGTTGAACTGCTCAAAGTCATGAACCACATCACAGGAAGCAGATGTGTGGAAATATGAGTATGTGAGGGTTTGATGGGTGTGTGTGGTGTAGTATCAAAGTTTAAACACACATGCACAAGGGTTACTGAGAAATCTAATGTGATGCTTTTGCATTAACAAGAACTCCTTTTGGCAAAAAAAGTCTGGTTTACAGATAAGGTTCATGTGAAGTCTGTTATCATGTTGCTGCATATGTTAAAGTAAGAATGTAAAAATAATATCACTTAGTTTAGAGGTTATGTTAATTTCCAGGTGTATATCAGTATGTAGTGTCTCTACTTTAAAGAGTCCTCTCCTGCTGATGTTCAGGTGTATATCAGTATGTAGTGTCTCTACTTTAAAGAGTCCTCTCCTGCTGATGTTCAGGTGTATATCAGTATGTAGTGTCTCTACTTTAAAGAGTCCTCTCCTGCTGATGTTCAGGTGTATATCAGTATGTAGTGTCTCTACTTTAAAGAGTCCTCTCCTGCTGATGTTCAGGTGTATATCAGTATGTTGTGTCTCTACTTTAAAGAGTCCTCTCCTGCTGATGTTCAGGTGTATATCAGTATGTAGTGTCTCTATTTTAAAGAGTCCTCTCCTGCTGATGTTCAGGTGTATATCAGTATGTAGTGTCTCTACTTTAAAGAGTCCTCTCCTGCTGATGTTCAGGTGTATATCAGTATGTAGTGTCTCTACTTTAAAGAGTCCTCTCCTGCTGATGTTCAGGTGTATATCAGTATGTAGTGTCTCTACTTTAAAGAGTCCTCTCCTGCTGATGTTCAGGTGTATATCAGTATGTAGTGTCTCTACTTTAAAGAGTCCTCTCCTGCTGATGTTCAGGTGTATATCAGTATGTTGTGTCTCTACTTTAAAGAGTCCTCTCCTGCTGATGTTCAGGTGTATATCAGTATGTAGTGTCTCTATTTTAAAGAGTCCTCTCCTGCTGATGTTCAGGTGTATATCAGTATGTAGTGTCTCTACTCTTCTATGTCCCTTATACGTGTTATATTAAAAGTTATCAGAACGGCGTTTTCTTGTTTGGACGCAATCCTTTTATCATTTCACATGATCAGATGGTTGATATGCAAAATGTGTACAACCTCAAGAGATGAGTTCACTTCTATTTCCTGATAGATATAAAGTTCTGCAAAAAAAATTCCATTACATATTTTATTTATTGATAACATTTACTCCCCGTCAAAACTAGGTACTTTTTTGTGAAAGAAAAATTCCAACGTTACGGGTTTTGAGTGTCTGTTCAGAACAATAACACCATGTGACGCTGAGCTCTGCTGATTAGCTGCAATGTGTGTAAGGCTTTACTAAAACACACTACACCTTCTAATTAACATTGGTTCTGGTAAAACATCCTGTGTTGAACCAGTTTGGTTGCAGAATTGACCCAGTAGTGTTAAGAGACCTCAGAAATGAAAATGATGGCAGTACGTAAGAAACCACATAAATGCAATGTCTTTTTGAGTAGAAATAATATAGCATCATTTGAACTGTCATTTACTGATTGGTGACAATGGCCTAAAAAGACTCTTTAATATCATCTTGCTTGGACCATTTAAAATATACACAATTCTCTTTTTACTAGAGTGGAAGGTCGAGTTATGACTAGTTTAACCATCATGAACAACTTTACTCTGATCAGAGGTGCTCATTATGGGAAGTGATGACGCAAAGGTGGGTGCAGTCAGTTATTGCACTCTGGATGAACCTGTTGCACCATCACTGCTTCTGGTAAGGATATACCTTTTGTTTGTTTATCTGTAAGCAGGATTGTCGAAAAAACTACTTCTCCGACATTCCTGAGGCTTTGTTTCAGGTGAATTATGGACTTAGAAACATTCCAGTACATTTTGGAGCGCTTCGTCAATTATAGCGGATACACACCTTACGTTTTACTATTGTTAAAAACCAGAAAAAGAACTGCCTACCGCAGTGTGTGTGTGTGTGTGTGTGTGTGTGTGTGTGTGTGTGTGTGTGTGTGTGTGTGTGTGTGTGTGTGTGTGTGTGTGTGTGTGTGTGTGTGTGTGTGTGTGTGTGTGTGTGTGTGTGTGTGTGTGTGTGTGTGTGTGTGTGTGTGTGACAACACCTCCACTTTTAGGGTTGATGTAGACCAGGGTTGCCCAACCTTTTTTGAACCGAGAGCTACTTTTAAAGTTGCCGGTCTGCCAAGATCTACCAGTCCAAATAGAGAGGCGTAGCCATTACTGACAGCCTACTACCAGGTAAATACACACTTCTACTTGTATAAAACTGACCTTTGTACGATGAATACTTCATAAAATACTGCAGATCCTTTATTTTACCTCTTTCTAATCCAAGTACAAATACAAGTATTTAACTTAAGTTGCACAACAGTGTTGTTGATACAGAGTTGGAGTTTATTCACAAAAGTATAAATTAGGCTTACTACTAATAATAATAATGTAATAAGCTACAGAGGAATCTGCTGCCAAAGTGCAATAAAAAAGACAACATTAATAGAATCAAACCCTTTTTTGATGCATTTTAGTAGAATATAAACATAAATGCCTTTAAAATAGGATGCAAGCAACACTAGTTTCTTAACCTGAATTGATAATAGACTATAATCAATTTAAGTTTGCATTCTTATACCATTGTGTACAATAATTATAATGAATAAGTTCAAACAAACTAAAACTTACAGCTGATTTATAACGGTATCTAACTTGAGTTTTTATTATATCAAAAACCTGTTGAAATGCTACTGTTTTTTACTGTCCCCCAAAAGCGCGTCGGCAGCCTCCATGAATGCTTCTTTCACAACTTCGCCGTCTTTGAAAGACTTCATGTGTTTCGCAAGAACGTGACTGACACGTTAAGATGCTCTGGTAGCAGCCTTGCTCTTGTTGTTGGGCCTGGTGGAAATGGACTGCTGTGCATTTAGCTGTCCTCTCAGGCCCCTCCCCTTTTGGAGCGTAGGGCAGAATTAGGAGGGATTTCCGTCTCGTAGCGTTTGTGCACTGTTTTGAAATGCCGCTTCTAAATTACCCTTCTTCGATAAAGCAACGCTCGCATTGCAGATGAGACAGATGGACTTTGAATTGGAATAAATACAAAAATAATCATCCTCCCACTCGGAGTGAAAATTATATATTTTGGGCTTTTTTGCTTCTGCCACTGCCACTGCCCACCAGCCACGCCCCAACACATGGGATCACGCCGGCCAATCACAAAGCTGTGATGCGTTCAAGTGCATTATTCTGGCACAGGAAGATTATGTTATAGGACATTAACGATAAAACTGAATATTGTTGTTCTATTTTTAGACACATCTCGCGATCGACTGGTTGGGCACCCCTGACGTAGACCCACCCAAACGTCGCCCGGAGGCAGTGGTCGTGTTAACCGAATATTTTCAGTCTATGACGGAAAAATCTGAAAGCAGTCCGTAATTTTGACAGATTAGAACAAACTCGGAACAGCGCAAAAGTTTCCCCGCAGCAAGGCTCCGGCGTTATGCCGTGTTATGCATGCCCTCCAAAAAGGAAATGATAGTGTTTCCAAACCGTAATGATCACTGAAATGTCTGGGACTTTTTGCTTTACGCTGTGTGCGCTCCTGTGAGGTGCATGCATATCTCAGCGGGCATGGATAACACCGGCGCAACGGTTCACGAGCGTGCTCTCGCTAGCTGCAGTTTGGTTGCTAGGTTACTAGCTAGCTGTTCACTGATAAGGGGCCGGGGGGATGCAAAGTTAGTGATTACTGGTTCCATGTTGATTTAATTCAATATAATTTGTTGGGGGGAACTGAAAGGCTCTTACCGTACTGGTTACTTTGCAGCCCGGACATTTTCCCCAAAACAGAGTTAGACGTGATCGCAACACAGAGGTACCTTTCAAATCCCATCATATTTAAGACCTTTCTAAAAATGTTTATCATATTTAAGACTTTTTACGGCCTTAAATTCTGATGATCAAATGTAAGACTTTTTAAGACCCTGCGGGAACCCTGTATGATGTCATAACAATGTTTTGGCTTGTGTAACCATTAGCCAATCACCAACCAAGGTAACCACCCCCCCCCCCCCACCTTATCACCTGAATCTCCTCTAGAGCACCATTGAGTTCTTTTTAACCAAATCTCTCTCAGAGGGGCGTGGGGAGGGGCTCCTTATTTTCATCTAAAGTAACAGACAGAGAATCAGCACTTTGGAAACAGGGCTGAAACAGAGGGGATTATGGGTAATGCTGCAATGATCCGTTTGGTGTTTCAGCCAATCAGAGACAGGCTCTGTATATATCTGAGACCTGTGATGTATTGATGAAACACAGTATAATAGGAGACCTTTAAACGTCCATAGGTGTATAACGATGGGGGTCTTACTGAGTGTGGGGGGTGCAGTGGGAGCCGTTCCAGCCGCAGTAGGGGTCTCTGGAGAGGACACAATCCCCACATCTGTCTCCGTACTGGGCACAGTTTCCCACATCCAGCTGCACCAGTTCAGTCCTGGAGGTCAAATACAGCTTCATCTATAAAACACACAGTACAGGGGGAGGGGGGGACGGGGGGTTATTGTAACAAAGAAGAAGACAAAGTCATTAGAAAGTGTCCGGACTGAAAGAGGTATTAAGAAGCAATAACAGTGTAAAAATACTTTCAATTTTTTTTTTTTAAAGCCCTGCATTCATAACGTACTTTAGTAAAAGTGCATTGGGTATTAGCATCAAAATACCAGAAGTAAAAAGGTATTAATGATGCAGAATTGGCCATATCTAATCTAATAATATTATTTCTATCTTATTGGGTATTAAGATAAAGACAAGGCGTATTTTTTTTTCTTCTTTAGCTTTTATATTATATTCACATGTTCAACCATTTATTCCTCTTTGTGTTGACCTCGGAAATGATTGGGGTTTAAAGAGTAATACAGGAAATACAAAAATAGTACCCAATAAGCAAATAGTCTCTGCTAGATCACATTTAACAATGACATGTGACTCATTCAAGTAATAATTGATGTAAAGAAATCCGTTATAATAAAGACTTGTATTGCATATCCATTGCTTATCCAGGAAAATGTAAAAATAAAACAACTTTTCATTTCACCTGATTTGACCTCTATATTATGTTATCCTTTTTGTGACTCACTATAACCATTCCCACTTTGTTTCTTATCAAGTTACTCACAGTGGGGGGGTGGAGGAGGAAGGTGAGGACGTGGTGTCTGTGGTGGAAAGGTTGATACTCAGCGATGATGAAGGTCTCAGTTTCCTTCTGCACCACCTTATGAATGTCTCCCTTATCTGTTAGAAAAACAGAAACGATGATTAAATATCCAAACATGTGAAACACACCCATAAAAGACAAACCACCCACTCCTGTTTACCCACATCCCGATGACTCCTCCATTGAAACCCATGCAGTGGTCGGAGGAAATGTGTACCAGTAAGAGAGAGAACAGCTGCAGGATATGATGGTTTACTCTGAATTGGCCAATAGAGGATGAGTAATAGAGCCTCAGCCATCTCTTTCATCTACCTATTTGCTCTCAGGGTATTCATTTGACACCAAACCAGATCGTCCAAACCCTGCAAATGAATCCTAGGTGGCAAGACGCCATCGCACCGTTAGTAAGAAATCATGTTACCCCAGAGATGTGTCATGTTTAGGGCTCTTAAAGTCACAACAGCGCTTTCAAAAAGGTGAGATTGTGGGACAAAAAGCACCTAACCTTGACTCTCAAAAGAGATAAGGTCACAACAATTTACAGTTTGGGTCCCTATCGGTGTCCAAAAGATGTAAGAGATGGCAGAAAAGGTTGTCAGATTGTGATTTCAAACCTCCTTTTCTCTCTGTTATCCAACTTTAAAGGACGAGACACTTAAGAAAAGGAATCTAACTTAGTTTTAGACTCCACATTGGCTACCGGTTACCTTGACGTAAAAGATCAAATCATTCCCAGCGTTAGGATTACGATCTAAATGTGTTTTGAGATTTCTATTACCATTTATTTCATCTATCTATATTCTCTCAGCGTATTCATTCGACGCCTGATCCACTAAACCAGATCAACCAAAAGCTGCAAACACTATCAATTAATCCACGTGAACTTAGGTCTCTGTAAGTGTGCCTGGGGGGTCGGCAATTATGACCTGAGGCCAATGCCGGATTAACCATATGGGCAACCTGGGCAAGTGCCCAGGGGCCCTTGAGCAAAGAGGGTCCTCAGTTTTTTTTTTTCTTTTTCGGGCACAACCTCACTCATCATACATTGTTTTAAATTACATTCACTCTTCACCATAAATAACACAGCTTTTCTATAGGGTCAAATTAATATATTTTCTAAACCGTCTCTGTAGGTCTCACTATGTATGCGCTCAACTTTATTACTATGCGGCGGAATTCAGATATCTGGCCGAATCACAGCCGCACCCTCACTCATTTTTGACAGAAAGGGCAAAAGGCTAGACCTACTTTGGTTGAATTATGTCGCTGCGTCCCTGCGTCCCTGCTTTTGACAAATAGGTGTGCGATTTGACATGCCAGATTGACTGAAAATTCTAAATATTGGTCATGTTGGTAGGATTGGGTAGGCGTGGTGTTACTTGTTGGTACGTGGGTTGGGGGGGCCCATGAGCGCTCAGTGCCCAGGGGCCCCTGGAGGTACTAATCCGGCCTTGCCTGAGGCCTACTGTACTGTGTTAACCTACTTAACGGGAAGAAAGTAAGGATGAGTCTTTCTTTATTATGTATACTGCAGGCATGTCTTTACCTCCTGTGTTATTGTTTTGAATGTAAGTCTCACATGTCTTCATCTTGTTTTTCAGGAGTAAAACAAGGCCAAAGTCAATGATTCACATATTATGTTATTTAAGGAAGTGCAATAGAAACTGCTCATGAGATTCCCCGTGTTGCTCTCATCACATCTTGTGCGAAATAACAATAAAACTCCAACACACATAACACGAACGACCTCTCTTACGGGATCCAGTGGCATCTGAAAGAGTTTATTTTACAGACGTTTCATCCAAAGCCCTGCAGGTCTTTCTGAAAGTCCCTGCATCTGGAGAGGCAGGATATCCAATCTGTTGTTTGGGTATTAAATGTACTCCTTGTACATCTCTTCCTGGTTCAACTACAGGTTATCAGTCTCTAAACTGAGTCTTGTTCAGTCTTGTTCTGACTCTAGTTATAGTAATTCGTCTTTGTAACAGCTGCCAAGTCTTCTTGTTAGTTGAAATGTAAAACAAAGGTTGTTTAAATGCTTTTTTCTTCCAGTATAGCAGCTATTTTAGGAACAACCGGTGTGTATTGTCATGTGTACTCGGTCATTCTGTTGCTGCTTTAACGCCTGCATTTCCCTACGAGGATCAATAAAAGTCCATCCGGCATCCTGTCTCGCTTTGGAATAATTAACCTATGTGGTAAAAGGGAGAGTAAATACATTTAAGGAAATAGGGGACACTTTTCCTGGAGAGTGATCTAGTGGAAATTGATCAATGTCAAACACTGATCAAGAATAAGGAATAATACTAACGCTGCCTAAAATAATAACTATCTTTAATATAGAAATGATTCATGCTTTTATACTTGTCTTTTTAATTGTTGTACATATTAAGATATATTATCTATTTTACTATGGTGTGTGTGTGTGTGTGTGTGTGTGTGTGTGTGTGTGTGTGTGTGTGTGTGTGTGTGTGTGTGTGTGTGTGTGTGTGTGTGTGTGTGTGTTAGGGCTGCACGATTTGGGGAATAAATGGAATTGCGATTTTTCTGACAGTTATTGCGATTCGATTTGCGATATTTGTTTTTAAGCGACCCAACGGAAGTTTATTGTAAAATGCGGCCATAACTCCGGCTAGGAAGGTCGTATCAACGTGCTCCCGTCTCTAGCACCCCCGCAGCCCGAGCTACGAGTGAAAGTACATGAAACTTCCGTTGGGTTGCTTTAAAGTCAAGCTTCAGTTTCAGATTCACCCCGTGATAGAAACATGTGATGGAGCATTACTAACCTGACTCAGATGTTTCACCAAACCATCTACAGTAGGAAAGCTCCATTGGAAGCCATTTGGAAAGGGCAGGCACTTTCAAAAATACTTGGCAGGTGATTGGATCAATCTGTCTATCACCTTCTATCATGGGCCACTTCTGATTGGTTAACAATGGCTGGTACATGTGGAGCACAGCACTTCTGATTGGTTAACAATGGCTGGTACATGTGGAGCACAGCACTTCTGATTGGTTAACAATGGCTGGTACATGTGGAGCACAGCACTTCTGATTGGTTAACAATGGCTGGTACATGTGGAGCACAGCACTTCTGATTGGTTAACAATGGCTGGTACAGGTGGAGCACAGCACTTCTGATTGGTTAACAATGGCTGGTACATGTGGAGCACAGCACTTCTGATTGGTTAACAATGGCTGGTCGTGGGGAGCACAGCACTTCTGATTGGTGTGGATGACTGACACACAAGAAGAAAAAAGAAAAAATCGCAGGCTTTGATTTGATAATCGCATCATTTCAAATCGCGATTTCGATTTAAAATCGATTAATCGTTCAGCCCTAATATGTGTATTAGTTATTTATTTTTATATATATTATTTCAAGTTTTTTTGCTTATTCTCATTCCTTTACTTTATTTGGTCCTATTTCATTTCAATCTGAGAGTTCTCCCTGAATGTGACTGTATGTTTTTCCGATGTTTAAAATACAATACATGTAACAAATTAAAATAAAGGCCCATCTTATGTTATCTTAGATGTACATTACTCACGTAGAGAGAGGTAGAGCACGGTGTGTTTATCGCTCCTGTTGTTCTGAGAGTCGTCAACGTAGATGTGTGTGTAGTTGTGATGATTAAAGAGAATCGGACCGGAGTTATTGACGGGCCAAACCCATTCCTCCATCTCCGAGTTCTCCTTGATCTTGCTCAGGACGTCCATGTGAATCGCGCTGCTGTCCTGGACACACTGAAGGGGAAATATGATGTTACGGCACATGTTTAATGACGGTTCACCTACTGTTGGTATGCCTCGCTAGCTTTCTGATGCAAAATGTGGCCGTTTTTTAAGTAAAGTAGGATTTTGTTTCTAGATTTCAGAAGAAGACAAAAACTGCCTCTTCAATTGTAGTGATTAATAACCGAAGATTTAAAAGTCCTGATTGTTTCTTTAAATGCTGGAGATTCAGTTACACAGTGTCACCGTCATATTGTCTAATGGGTAAATGTTTTCGTTGACTTCTAAATAAAAACCCTTTTAAAATTGTACCTTAGATATTTTACAATTAATTGAATGGCTACAAACAAATTAGGCTCAAATTAAATGCATACAGTTCATTAACACCAAGGATGAGATGATGTTAGTGCATTGCTGTTTGATGCAGCCACTGTAAGAAGTGGGTGATTTCTACACATAGTGGTTTTAAAATAACAACAAAAAGAGAACAATGATTATGCATTTTTTTAAATGTAAAGTTATTTTTAACATATGCATGGTTCTGATTTGAAAAGATAAAAAGTCAAAATGATCCAAGAAGTGCAGACATAGAATTATCATGTTCTTTACTCATAAATAAATCTTCTACTTTGTGTCTGTATTCATGCACATAGTTTGAAAGCTTGCAGCTATAATGATACCGGGAACTATTTCTTAAAGTTATTATTTCAGTTGTTGTTGACACATACCGCTCTGGACCTGCCGGGTTGAGGGACTTTGCCTTTAAATGTGGACGTTGTGAAGATGCGTTCAATGTCTTTTATGGTGTAGACACACACCGCACTCATCCCCCTGCAGACACACACACACACACACACACACTCATCAGCTGATTCACACACACACATCTGCAGCAACAGGGAACTGTGGGAGGTCAGTTAAAAGTTGTGAGACAGATGAGCATACAGAAACCAAGATTAGGAAAAAGGAACTAACCAAGAAACTCTTTTGTGCATATGTCAGTAAAACGTTGATCTCATGGACCACCATGAGATCAAAATGTTACTGACATCAATCCACAGAAAGAAGTTCACACCAGTGTGGTTGTTTACTTTTGGTTAAATGAGCTGACATAAGCAATGACTCTGCAGTTTTAATAAAATACACCACAGCAAAGTCATGCTCTCACCACTGTGGCTGACTTTAATCTGATGATGCTGGACGTGTAGTCATGAGTCAAATGGGGATTATATTTCAGGAAAAAACACATTTGGTTAGGATCATGCAAGGTGACTCGAGTCCATATAAACTGTTCTTAGTATTTCATTTTATATTCTATTTGTATTGAATCTTACTCTGCTTTACATGAATATATTTTACCTATTTCTGCATTTTACTATACAATATCCTTTCTTATGACACGGCTTATTTGAATACGCGATTCTGATTGGTCAATTTAAACATTCCAGAGGTTGTTAATTTTCATTAACAGACTGTTGCTAAGCAGAACAGACTTTGTGCAGTCATATCAATCCGCAGAAAGAAGTCCTGTATACTAAACGTCGTCTTTGGACACCAAACATTACTTTTCCTCCATCAGAAAAACACCAGGGAATTATTTTTGAAAATTCGCTTTTATATTAATTGGAGAGCAGGAAACGTTGGATTCATGATGGCTAAACTGTCCTCAGTAAAGAAAAGAAAAAGCGGGTGAAGAGAAGGAAAGAGGTTAGAGGACAGAGAGCTGGACGACGGATAAATCAACAGAAGAAGACAGACAGGAAGTAAACACTAACAGGACTGGGCTCTGGCAGCATTTAAAGACTGGTTAATGCTAAAGAAAATGTTAACAGAAAACATCGATCAGTGCTGCCGTCATTTAAAGTTACGTTGCTGTAGCCGCAAAGTCATGCTGGCTTTTCACCTCTCAGAATTGTGGCCGACTTAAATCTGATGATTGTGGAAATGTAGTCATGAGTCAAATATGGATTGTATGTCAGGAAAAAACACATTTGGTTCGAATCATGCAAAGGTTAACTAAGTATATACACTTGCTTTGTTTTATCTTACCCCATTTTACATGTATATCGTTGACATATATCCAGGGCTGCACATAACTGGTGCGCAGGTGCGCATGCGCACCTCCGCCAAAAAAAGAGCACCGGGTCATTTGAAACAAAGCGCATTTGCGTACCAACATTGAGAGGGAGAGAGAGAAGAGAAAATAGAGAGATGAGAGAGAGAGAAAGATATTTGCGAGTTGCATATGAACCATGATATGAACTCAGGGCCGGCCCGTAGCACTGGCTAGATGTTCGCCTAGGGCGCCAGATCTGGGGAGTCGCTGCGCTGGCAGTTCTGGGAGGGAAAACAACATTTTGACCGTTGGGGCTCATCCTAATTTTCGGCCTTGATGTAACAATATGCACAATTAAGTAAATGTAACACCCTTTTCACCCCGGTTCCACCTTTCATTTGCCCTGTACGATGAAGTGATGAAAATGGGGGATGTTGGCTTATCTGGCGCCCGCAGCTCACAGACAAAATGCGAGGGAGGGTGGTACCAGCGCTGTTGTTATTATAATCTGGTGCCATGCTAGCTGCTCTAACGGAGCTAAGAAGAAGATGTTTCTACAATAATGTGGAGGGAGAGTCCTCTCCAGTCAGACTGAGAGGCTGATAAGTTAACTACAGCTCAGTGAGGTCAAGGACTCTTGAGTGTTTAGATAGTTCACTTTAGTCTAAGTTCAAACGGTTTGGTCACAATTTATGTAAACACATATTTCCAAGGCACTCCTTTGTAATTATTGGGATAAACAGGTTTGAAATCATTCCAATGTATACTATAGGACAGTAACCAAAAATATCCTTTAAAACTGGAGAGATAAAAAAAAAATGCATAAATAAATGTTAAGGTAAAATAAGATATGAATGAACAACACAAATAAAATAAGTTACATTAATTTGTTATTGGCTATGGTAGGTTATTGGTTATGTTCACATACTTATTTGATTACATCCACTTGTCTAAGATGACAACAGAGACTTTCAACCCAAACCCAGCTGTTGACTTGTGGATGCAAGCAGCTAATCACAGACTCAACCAGAGAGGAAGTAGTAGGCCTACATCATCAGCTACCATGTCTGACAGGAAGACAGTGAGGAGAACAGTCAGGAGGGTAGTGATGACAGCTTGTAGGATTACTGGTCGTGCTAATGTTGTCTTGTGTTCACCTCTGCATGTGTGTTCTGTGTTCACCTCTGCATGTGTGTTCAGTGCCGTGTGTCTGGCAAATAAAGTCAAGACCCCCTCAAAAGTTACGGTTTATTTCATTTTAAGGATGAGCACCAAGCAACATCTCCAGGTGCTCCTTTGAGAACCAGGGCAAAAAAGTGATGTGCACCCCTGCATATATGGTGTATTTTCGACCTTTCCGATCCAGACGAGATCTCTCTCTCCCGTCTGTGTGCGAGGGGGCGGGGCAGTTAACACACGCAGCTGCTACATGCAGCAACACACGGAGGAGATGGCGAAGAGAAGCGCTCCAAGGTGTGGTTAAATGTTACCCGTCTTGAGGTGGACAATGCTCCTTGCCAAGAGTGTTTAGCATGTGAGGGCGGTAACACGAGCAATTTGTCTAAACATTTATCAAAAGTGCTCCACATCCAGACGGAGGAATGCACCGGGTTCGACCGTCTTTCTAGTAGCTCTGTAGCCCCATCCACGAGTAACGTTTCCACGTCAGGTGTTATGTATGCTAGCAGCAACACACGCAGTTAACTACATGATACAAACATGGGTTAATGATTAGAGGTAACTGAGTTACTCTTTATTTTGTTAAAGTTTCAGCTATTCTGTTCACAGTTCTGTCATCAGATTATTTAATACGATTTGTTAAAACATTGTTGTTTCTTTTGATGTGAAATATTATTTATTTGATTTAAATAAAAAGCAATGTTAATTTGATTCACAATTTGTTAATTTAATAATATATGTATTTTTGAATCAAGTGTTCATCTGTATTGTCTTCATTGTTAGTTTCCACATGCCTAAAACAACCTCAAGCTAAATCTAAAAGTTGATGGCTAAATAAGAGCGTTTGAGAAATTGTGCAAGGCGTACAGTAATAGTCCGAATAGTCGATTAATCGTTTCATTAATCGATAGATTAATCGATTATCAAATTAGTCGTTTGTTGCAGCCCTATTGTAGTTATCCCATGTATAAATAAAACGTGTTATTCAGCAACCATTGCAATTTGAGATTATATTTTTGGTTGGTAGACCTCGGTGAGCTGGTCATTTCAAAAGTAGCTCACCAGCCAAAAAAGTGTGGGCACCCCTGACTTAGAGGAACAGCAGAAGAAGACAGACAGGAAGGAAACACTATCAGGAACAAGGCTATGGGCTCTGGTTTGTGTTTAAAAACTGGTTAATGGTAAAGAAAATGTGAACAGCCGTTGGTGTGAACCATTTTTTCTTAGCGTAAGCAATACGATCGACTTAAAATCAACTAAATCCTTTAAAAATGAATATAGAGACAAGGTAAACTTAACTAATGTGCATTTAAAAAAGAGGAATAGTTTTGGCGAAATCTAAAAGGTACCATGGGGTCAGATTAGAATGTTCCAAAGGGGCGTTCGTTTAGCATGAAATAAATAAAGGACAAGTTAAAAAAGAAAGTAGAAAGGACGTGAGGTCATAGAAAACTATTTCTGCTAAAAAGTGAGCAATGATTGAGAGTCAGAGCTGAACATTTCAGATGTGTGTTTCTCACACTGCTCTGTAACTTAAATTCATGTTCCTTTGATATTCATGTTTTATCATCTTTGCTTTTAAATTAGTGTTTTTAAATGCCATTTGATCAAATGTTTCTTACCGTCTTTCATTTTTGTAAAGCACTTTGAATTGCCTTGTGTTGAAAGGTGCGATATAAATAAACTTGCCTTGCCTTATCCCTCACTTGAATGCATGATAACGGGTTCCTACCATTCATTTCTGAAGAGTGCATAGACTCTGGTGTCCTCCCACTGCTCTTTCTCCACAGTAGCTACATCCACCAGCTCAGAGAAATGCCTTCGGCTCTCAGGCTCTCCGCAGAACAGCCGAGCGTTCATCTGGGACGTCCAACTGAACTGCAGAAAGTTCTTCGGACCGCCACGATCTCCCTGGAAGAAAATGCATTGATTACTCGATCAAAATTCACATGCAATGAATAATTTGGAGCATATATAATGAATTAGGGCTGCACGATATATACTGTCGTGGCAATATTCACATCGCATTTTCAAATGTTAAAAAAAAATGTACGACGTGCGATATTAAGTAGGCAAATGAACTCAAAGACGTCATGTTACAATTCTTTTGCTGCTTGCTACAAAAGGAAAACTCGCGCGGCTCTCATGTCAGGGTTTCTTGAGTGAGTGACCGCAAACCACCATCAAATCAAATCATCAAATCAAATCTCTAAAGCAAACGGACCCGGTGATGAAAGATCAAAACACTGAATAAAGTAGTATCATGTGTTTCTCCAGGGCAGTTCGGCGCTGCTAACCGAGCTAGCTCAGCTTGTTGCTCTGATAACTTAAGATCCAGACGTCCGTGACTGAAATCCTTCATCCGGTTAAATATAGTTAGAAAAATACCAATTGTAACGCATTAAAGTTCAAGAAAGGATGGTTTGTGAGAAAAAAATAAACGGTCTTTTCTTCAATTCCTGTATTTTTTCATATCGCAGAGGAAGAAAATATCGCAATGTCAGTTTTTTCCAATATCGTGCAGCCCTATAATGAATATAATAATAAACGTTATTTGTATAGCACCTTTCATGCACAAAGCAGCCCAAAGTGCTTAACAGAACAAGAAGAAAACATAATATTAAAATAGTTTGACTGGAAAAAAAGATCTGAACAGGTTATTTCAAGGGGGCAGAAGTAACACAAATGTCCTCTGACTGACCAGAGGGGTTTTTTTGTATTGCAATTCTAGCGTACTGTATACATTTAGGAGAAAATCCTTCACCGAATTCAGTTTGTACAGGACATTTTTAAACATGACACAGTAAGAGAGAGGGTATATTTTGAGGTAAGTAGTTTCACAGGAAACTAGGTCTTTACAAGTTATTTTTAAAAAGATTGAAAAAAATCAACATCCTCTTCACGACCACTGATCTCACTTTATGGCTTCAATTTCAACCCAAGCTATTTTGTGCACATATCTGCTTCTAAAAGAGTGTTTCTATTCTTGAAATCTAGCTTCAAACATTACAAATTAAATATGCAATCCTTATTATTTAGTCCTGCAGGTCTTACCATGCACACTCGGGTCACAAAGGGGATCCACATATTACTGTACAGGTCTGGATCTTTGTTTTTCTCCTTATAGAAGCCGAACACTTTGCCCTGAAAGGGGTCATCTCTCCGTCTGCTGGGCACCAAACCCACATAGTGCTGCTCTGAAGACGGAAAGTCAATATGAGTCTAATAATCTGGGTTAACATCATTTAATTAACCCAACATCTCGAGGCATTTACCTCTATCGTGCATCGTGGGTCCAACTCTGTTCCACCCAAACCTGTGGATGCCAACATCACCTTTAGATCCAGAGTATGTGACGTAGAGGTTACTGTCTGCTGATTCTGCAAACACACAAGGTGTTATTTTTAGAAAGATATCACAACACCATCGAGGGGCTTTTGGTTTGCATCAGATGCCCTTTTTAAATGACATGTCTCTCCTGTATGAAAAACTGCTTTCTGATAAGCAAGACTTGTTTAGAAGATTGAATAGGAGTGTGAAGACAGAGGGAGTGTAGAGTCAATATTAAAAAGTATCATCGTGATGTTTGTTTTCCTTGTATCGTGTCTTAATATTTGTCCTCGTATCGTATCGTTATCAGTGGTGAAATAAGTGTTAAGATAACATGGTGTCCGAGGAGTGGAGACCTTTTCATTGCACCCTCTACAATAAAAACTATTGGAGGATAAACAATGGGTGTGCAAAGGTCGAACTTTCATTGAACACATCTTATACATTACACAGTGGGTGGAAGTGTTGCACCACTTCGGCACAGACAGATATTTCTCAACAAATATTGCATTAATTGTTTCACGTTCACCGTTTTCCTCCAGTGCCAACATCGACTTTACATTTTGCTTTTTTGTTTAATATCTCAAGTACATTTGGATGCATTTTCTCGAGATTTGGTAAACATACTATCTGTCCTCTGACAAAAAGGGAATGTAGAGTGAATATTAAAAAGGATAATCGTGATGCTATGTGATGTTTGTTTTCCATGTATCGTTAATATTTGTACTCATATCATATCGCATCTTATATCTGTATCAGTGGTGAAAGAAGAATTAAGATATTTAAGTATTACTTAAAAGAAGCATTATCCCAGTGTGGATTTACTTGAAAGACATGCATTCAATATCGAACTTAACTAGAAGTACCAAATATGCATAAATAAACTAAATACAGTTTAGGAAATCAGAAAGCAGACACTTTGTGTACGGAAACTCACCCACGAGAGCGGCTGGTTCTCCTTCCTTTATGATGAAACCCTGGATACTCTTTTTTATGTTCTGGATCTTTGCAGAGGACATGCACCTGGGGGTCTTCTCTGATAAGTCCTACAGGAAAACAGACAGAAAACATTGTGCGAAACAGATGTTATTTAGAGATTTAGTATACCAAATGAACACAAGCTGGTGCATCTCACAGGTAAAGAAAAGCAGAAGTTAATTTACTTTTTCGTGAGACAAACACAGAAGAAGAAGTGACACATGAGAAGTGAAGCTCTCCCAGCGATGGCCGCCTGAAGCTGAATCTTTCACACAATGCATGTTTATTGTTTAATGTGCTTAACGACTGACTGTGTGACATATTAAATCAACCAGCTTTAGTGTATTGAATGAGATAAATCACACTACAAATATCTGTGTTATCAGAGAGTCAACAACAACATATGCTGATGTTCAGGTGTATATCAGTATGTAGTGTCTCTACTTTAAAGAGTCCTCTCCTGCTGATGTTCAGGTGTATATCAGTATGTAGTGTCTCTACTTTAAAGAGTCCTCTCCTGCTGATGTTCAGGTGTATATCAGTATGTCGTGTCTCTACTTTAAAGAGTCCTCTCCTGCTGATGTTCAGGTGTATATCAGTATGTAGTGTCTCTACTTTAAAGAGTCCTCTCCTGCTGATGTTCAGGTGTATATCAGTATGTAGTGTCTCTACTTTAAAAGAGTCCTCTCCTGCTGATGTTCAGGTGTATATCAGTATGTAGTGTCTCTACTTTAAAGAGTCCTCTCCTGCTGATGTTCAGGTGTATATCAGTATGTAGTGTCTCTACTTTAAAGAGTCCTCTCCTGCTGATGTTCAGGTGTATATCAGAATGTGGTGTCTCTACTTTAAAGAGTCCTCTCCTGCTGATGTTCAGGTGTATATCAGTATGTAGTGTCTCTACTTGAAAGAGTCCTCTCCTGCTGATGTTCAGGTGTATATCAGTATGTAGTGTCTCTACTTTAAAGAGTCCTCTCCTGCTGATGTTCAGGTGTATATCAGTATGTAGTGTCTCTACTTTAAAAAGTCCTCTCCTGCTGATGTTCAGGTGTATATCAGTATGTAGTGTCTCTACTTTAAAGAGTCCTCTCCTGCTGATGTTCAGGTGTATATCAGTATGTAGTGTCTCTACTTTAAAGAGTCCTCTCCTGCTGATGTTCAGGTGTATATCAGTATGTAGTGTCTCTACTTTAAAGAGTCCTCTCCTGCTGATGTTCAGGTGTATATCAGTATGTAGTGTCTCTACTTTAAAGAGTCCTCTCCTGCTGATGTTCAGGTGTATATCAGAATGTGGTGTCTCTACTTTAAAGAGTCCTCTCCTGCTGATGTTCAGGTGTATATCAGTATGTAGTGTCTCTACTTTAAAGAGTCCTCTCCTGCTGATGTTCAGGTGTATATCAGTATGTAGTGTCTCTACTTTAAAGAGTCCTCTCCTGCTGATGTTCAGGTGTATATCAGTATGTAGTGTCTCTACTTTAAAGAGTCCTCTCCTGCTGATGTTCAGGTGTATATCAGTATGTAGTGTCTCTACTTTAAAGAGTCCTCTCCTGCTGATGCTCAGGTGTATATCAGTATGTAGTGTCTCTACTTTAAAGAGTTCTCTCCTGCTGATGTTCAGGTGTATATCAGTATGTAGTGTCTCTACTTTAAAGAGTCCTCTCCTGCTGATGTTCAGGTGTATATCAGTATGTAGTGTCTCTACTTTAAAGAGTCCTCTCCTGCTGATGTTCAGGTGTATATCAGTATTTAGTGTCTCTACTTTAAAGAGTCCTCTCCTGCTGATGTTCAGGTGTATATCAGTATGTAGTGTCTCTACTTTAAAGAGTCCTCTCCTGCTGATGTTCAGGTGTATATCAGTATGTAGTGTCTCTACTTTAAAGAGTCCTCTCCTGCTGATGTTCAGGTGTATATCAGCATGTAGTGTCTCTACTTTAAAGAGTCCTCTCCTGCTGATGTTCAGGTGTATATCAGTACGTAGTGTCTCTACTTTAAAGAGTCCTCTCCCGCTTAGAGATGTCCCGCCCCTTAGCGTATCACGTACATAGTGATGTCACTCCCGTCTCAGGACCATACTCCCTGCAGAACCTCACCATATCACAGCATGCCGTTCCCTTCCCATCGGTTCCACACAGGAACAACTTGTTAGCTTCCATCTTCTGGACAAGATAAATGTTAAAGCTGCAATCCTAAATGAAAAGAGTATTTGTGGTTTTACAATCCAATCCCACCAACGTTTAACAGTCTGCTTTTTGCTTTCATCTTTTGTTTTTTGTTACCGCTTTCACTGTCTGCTGAGGATCACTTTTGTTGCACTCTGTCCACGGTACATGTATTTCTACTGGAGTCTGGGAGGAGAAGAAAATGGTTGTGGTGTCAGTCATTTTTACACTTTTATGTCATTTATTGTATTGTTAGTATGATACTGTCTGTATAAATGTTTGTAGCATGAAGGGGCTAAAGCTTACATTTCAAAGTGTAGGTTGTATGTGGATAATGCATTAATGTGAGTGACATTTTAGTTGAAAAGTGTGAATTATTGTACGCTTAAATGCTTTTAATTAGGACTCTTGGACTCTTTTGCATCACTATAACTCGATTGCAGATATTTACTTAATGTCATTAAAACAGTGTCAGAGATCTATGTTACCTCGTGAGGGTTTTGGAAGTTGAATGATTTCAGGCGTTTCTGTTCAGCAGATATGACCGTGTTCGGCTCTTTTTCCAGAACAATCCCTGCAGGTACATGGTGTCCGAGGAGAGGAAACCTCTTCATTGCGGTCTCTGCAACACAAAATATTAAAGGATACGTACCTTGAACACACCTTAGTATATACAGCAAACAGTGAGTGGAAATGTTGCTCCACCACTTCAGTTCAAACGGATGTTTCTTCAACAAATATTGCATTCATCGTTTTTGTCCAGTGCTTACATTGACTTTACATTTCGCTTTTTTGTTTAATATCTCAAGTACATTTGGATGCATTTTCTCGACATTTGGTACACGTACTATCTGCCCTCTGACAAAACATCCCCACAAGTTTGGAGATCCTCTGGCTTTTCCCACCAGTGCTACCAGAAGGTCAAATATTTCACTTGTACAGTAAATATCTCAACACTTGATAGATCGCCTTTTTTTTTCAGAGATGGCAAAACAAAAGCCTTTTCTTTTATAGAAATGCAGTATTTTTCTCTATTTTTCCGTATATTGTAATGAGAATTCCAGTTTCCTGTTAGCAAGTCTAATTTATTTTAAATAGCTTCAATGTAATATGGTCCTCTGACTCCTAATCAATGCAGCATTGTATTACTACAATGGACAAAGACCGATGTGATGTCTGTTCGTGATGCAGCAATTCTCCCATGGGAGACAAACAATACAAGACAATTTATCCAGATACTACTAATACACAGTGGTGTCAAGTAACTAAGTACATTTACTTAAGTATACTTTTGAAGTAGCTTACTCGAGTATTTCCATTGTATGCTATACTTTGTACTTCTACTCCACTACAATTCAGAGGTAAATGGTGTACTTTTACTCCACTACGTGTATTTAATACATTTAGTTACTTTACAGATGTGGATGAATGATGTGAAATATATATTTTGATGATAATACTTTTCTACTTTTACTTGAGGAACATTTTTTAATGCAGGACTTTTACTGTAACAGAGTATTCCTACACTCTGGTACTTCTACTTTTATTCAAGAACAAGATCTGAGTACTTATACTTTTATTCAAGAACAAGATCTGAGTACTTCTACTTTTACTCAAGTACAAGATCTGAGTACTTCTACTTTTACTCAAGTACAAGATCTGAGTACTTCTACTTTTACTCAAGTACAAGATCTGAGTACTTCTCCAGCTCTGCTGATGTAAATGTGTTCCTCTATAAACACAGTTTCCTCTTACAGAGAGTGAAGGACAATAACTGCATGAATCCTCTGAATTTGGCGCCAGAGAATCACTTTAGAGATTAAAGCAGCTCTCTCATGCCTGTCTTGTGATCCAGATTAACATGTAGGACAGACCTGCTCCTGGTTTATCCCCGCGATATTAAACGCGGTCCCATGCGTCCAGGCAGGGTAGAGGATGCGGAGGGTTTCCTACCTCTGAGAGTGAAGGTCATCCTGGCTGCAGGCTTTGAGGTCGCCTCGGTCAAAGTGTGAAGGCGGGAACATAATAAATAAAGTTTAAATAACAAGAGAAGCATTCTTCCTGTGAAATGTGTGAGGCTCTGCTCGGAAACACACAGCTGCAGTGCAGAGAGGTAGTGCGTTTGTCTGCGGAATCATTTATAAACTCCACCCAGGGCCGTTTCTTCCTATAGGCGGACTATGCGGGGGCATAGGGCCCCCGTGGTCACTAGGGGGCCCCCAAGCTGAAAGTATTTTTATTTTTTTTATTCATCCGAAAAACAAAAACAGTTTAATTCATACACACAAAGATGAACAAAATTAGTAGAAGCGGGAGGGCTGAAGCATAGCTTGTGGAAAGTAGCCCTCCCGTGCATCATCCTAATACAGCGGCATTATTGCGTCAAAGACATATAGAAATGAAGGAGTACAAAGAAATAAAGAAAACAGGAGAAAAAATTAAATAAAAGTTAGGGCAGGAAAACAATAAATGATAAAGGGTCATTTTCTGCACATGTCAATAGCAGTTTCAACTATCTTTTTTTGGAAATACTATATATAAATATATACATAGGTATATACACACATGTACTTGGCAAATGAATAATAATAATATATGCATAATTGCATATAAACATTGTGAACACTTATTTTCAAGTGACTTTTTTTACATTCATATGTTCACGCTGTGGTTTGGAACTGCTTTTGAATGTTATTAGGCATTTTCTTATGGAAAATGTTGTGCATAATCAGTACTGTTTTAAGCTGTACTATCTCAACACATTTTAATAGATTGAGTTTTTTTAAATATGGGAGTTGTGTGTTCATATTTACCAACACCACAGACTATTCGTAATACTTTTTTTTGGGATGTTATTCTTTTTTATAGATTTGTTGAGTACGTGTTTCCACATATTTCGGAGCAGTAGTAAAGGTAAGGGAGAAATAGACTGTTATAAAGAGTATCTTTTCTTCAAGAATGTTCTTAGTATGATACAAAATATCTATTGTTTTTGACAGTTTAGTCTGTACATAATTGATATGGTGCTTCCAATTGAGTTTTTCGTCAACAAGCAGTCCTAAAAATGTACATGCACCAACTTTTTCTATCTCTGTATTGCAAATCCGTATAATGCAGTCATTTCTACTCTCAGACTTTATATTGAATAACATGTCATTTGTTTTGGCCACATTAAGGGATCATTTATTAACTGCAAACCAGTTACATAGTATTTTTAATTCTGCATTCACAATGTTAACAAGATCGCCAAGATTATGATGGGAGCAGAGAATTCAAAGTTCAGGTTCAACCTCAATATATTTGGAGGGAATTCAAATGAGCCGTCTTTATTTGGAGACAGCCAAGCCCCCTCCTGTGTTCGCAGTGGCGTTTATATATGTACAAAAGTGGTGGGGCACAAAAAACGTAGATGTCTATATACGTATAAGCTTCTGCAGTGAGGTTCATGGCTGGTGAGGCACTGGCACTGACTCTTCAGGTTTACAATTATATTTTGACCTAAATCAAAATATAATATTATTTTCAAAAGCTTTTTTTGGTCTGATGCTTCGATTAATTTTAAACAAACAGTTCAACAAAAGGATACCCAAAAAATGTAATTTTATCATTTACATATTGAATTGTTCTCTCTTAGTAAGATCCCATTTTCAATAAAATGGTGGTCTTACCTTGACTTGAAGATGAAGTCCATTTGCCTATCCTTCTGGACAAAAATCTCTATTACTTTTTTGTAAAAGTCCTCCTTATCTTCTTGTAGTTTCAAAAGTCTATCATAAATCTAATCGATAGATTTATGATTAGAAAATTATAAAAGTAGGGTAGACTTTTTTTTAGTCCAGGCTCTCGTCATCTCACGCCTAGACTACTGCAACTCCCTCCTGGCTGGTCTACCTGCATGTGCCATCCGACCTCTGCAGCTCATCCAGAATGCAGCGGCTCGTCTGGTCTTCAACCTTCCTAAATTCTCCCACACCACGCCGCTCCTCCGCTCCCTTCACTGGCTTCCGATAACTGCTAGAATCCACTTCAAGACAATGGTACTTGCGTACCATGCTGCGAATGGATCTGGCCCTTCCTACATCCAGGACATGGTTAAACCGTACACCCCAGCACGTGCGCTCCGCTCTGCATCAACCAAACGGCTCGCTGCACCCTCGCTGCGAAGGGGACCCAAGTTCCCATCAGCAAAAACACGTGGGTTTGCTATCCTGGCTCCAAAATGGTGGAATGAGCTCCCCATTGACATCAGGACAGCAGATAGCTTACACACCTTCCGGCGCAGACTGAAAACTCATCTCTTTCGACTCCACTTCGAGCGATAGAACTATTAACAAAGCACTTATATACTAATAAAGGGCTGGCTTATCTAAAGCCATTTGAGTAGCACTTGAAATGTTTTTGCTCTATGAAGCTTGATGTACTTATATGATTCTGTTTTCTTCAAGTTTGTATTCTGTTGGTCGAACGCACTTATTGTAAGTCGCTTTGGATAAAAGCGTCAGCTAAATGCAATGTAATGTAATGTAATGTAATGTAATGTAGACATGTGGATATTATCCGGCTGAACAAAACGTGCATTTATCTAACAGGTACGTTTCCCACAGATCTTATTTTGAGCTATTTTCTAAAATCCCATGGAGAAATCTCATTGCTTTTTTGTGGAGTGAAGCCATGCGCAGCTTACTTCCTGGTTTTAGGACACGTCTCTCTCCTCTTCTTCACACACCACACTTGTTGCGGCACACGTACTTACAGCCAATCAGCTCTGAATTATGTGAGATGACGTATGGTGGGGATGACAGCTCTATGCCCCTATGGTCATTATTTGTTTGCCACACACATTAAATAGGAAAATACTCTGAGCATGCGCAGTGTAGTTTTTACAGTCACCCTTGACTTAAACAGGGAGAGGGAGGGGCAGGATCGGGTTTTGTCCCACATGGCTCTAAACAGCTTAATAGGCACACACTGTAGACACTAATTAGAAGAACATAGACTAAAACAGCAATGTACAGACGAATCAGATGATTAACCAGGATCTTAAAATATATTTTATATATTTTTGTTATTTATTTTTTGCATTTTTTTGTAATCATTATTTGTAATACTTTCTGCTGACACTGGGGCTATGCCCCTAATGACCAGTCGCCACTGTGTGTTCACATTTACTCAATGTGGAGGAAACTTCTGTGTAGCAATGCAGTGGGAGTCACCGACTCATGAAGGAGACACGGGACGAGCCGGAGTTCTGATGTCAAACATTGATATTTAATAGAAGCATCGGCCGGAGAAATTCACATCACAAGTCACACAGTCAAAGGTTCTGACTGCACGGTTGGTTTGCCATGTCAAGTCTGATCAGCCTCGCATCTTGGTAGACCTTTTAACTAGTTTACAGAGAGTCAAATTCACATATTGGGGATGGGCGTAAACCATGGCGTAAACACATCTGCAGACACAGGAGATGTCTCTCCCATCTCTGGAGCTTAGAAGCTAGCGTTCTCACACTCGCAAAACCTCTCTATGCCCTGTAGGTCAAGCTGTAAAACCTAGGATCAACATACGACTGCATCAACACATCTCTTATGGGAGATTAAAGCAGGGATGGTCGTACATGTCAACACACAAAATAAGGTTAAATGTCTAGGAGTAAAGACAAAATGAATCCCTAACACTCAAGTCCTGTACTTTTAAGTGCACGTTAGAGGTACTTGTACCTTTTGAATAATGTAAATAATGTCCTGCTTTATATTGCGTCTAAAACCAATAGTATTTTATCGTCAGAGTTTATAGATTTTGTATTTTATACTTTGTAATGCTGCTTTAATTATATTTTGAGATGTTTAAATTATTGTATTGTTAATTTCTACTCTATAGTTTCTACTTATGTGCAATGCCTTGTTTTGTTTTGTTATTTATTTATGTATAAGTTTCCCGAATTGGGATCAATAAAGTACTTCTTATCTTATCTAATCTTATTATTTACTCCACTACATTTATTTAATACATTATACTTTGAAGATGTGTGTACTTCTACTTTTATTACAAGATCTGAGTACTTCTACCCTCTCAGGATTTAACATTAATAAAAAGAAAAAACGTTTCATTATTTCCTGAGTGCGGAGGGATACGAGGGATCTAGTAATCCCATATTTTATGTCATAAATAATATAATTGTGCGACTAGAGAGTTGAAATAGGTTGCGTGGCAATGTGTGCAGGTTCATTTTGAATAATGCCTTTCATCCCTTCTGATCACGTCCATGAGATAATAAAAGACGGATGGATAATAAAACGATAAAAGGTTCAACACCGCTATAAAGTTAGTTTATGATGGATATACAACGACAGACATTCACTGCGCTTCTCTTTTAGTTAGGGACCGTCAACAAATGACTGTTTGAGTGAGATGTAAAGACAATGTTAATGTTAAGACCCTCCGTGCCAACTTGCTCATATTAGTACAAAATGCACTAAAGACATGTAATAAACATGTCTTGTGTGGCACACCTTTTTTGATCACTGAAAAATAAAATGTATAGAGTTAATAGTTAATTGCTGTTTTTTTTCAATAGCTGCCATATCTGCTAATCCATACATGATATCAGTGGCGAACCGTCAGGGCCTTCAAGGTATTCAGAGAATACCCTGGAACACTCAGATAAAACAAACAAAACATCGATTTAATTATATAAATAAAATGTAATAAAATGAATAAATGAGAATCGTATCTGTGTTGTTGATCTGTAATATTACAGTGTTACGTTGATTTGTTTGTCCTTCTCGGACCATGCACTACGCATTTCAGTGGTTTTGTGTTAGAAAAGAAAGCAACCAATCAGATCTGTTTCTGGGTCTCTGGGTAGAATATCCTTCAACCAAGGTATTCTACATCCTTGATAGAATGCCCTGGCCGTTGCACTGAATGAGAGCGTATGTTTGGACTGACAGTTTGATCAACCAATCATATATTGATTTGTAGCCAATGGTTGTATATCCTAGAAGGCCCGCTAGTTAACTGGAGAGAGACAGAGGATATATTATAGATGAATGCGACGAAGCAATTCATGCCGTTTTATTGTTTGTAACGTTGAAATGGCAAGTGCAACAGGTGAAGATGAAGTTGTTGC